AAATTTCTTTTGATACAAACGATATTTCTTTTATACATATCTTGTGTGATAGTCAAGACACTTTAGTACGAGCATATAGGGAAGTATATAATGGAAAGTCTAGACATATGAGTCTAAGACATGAGTACGTGAGAAAATTATTCAAACATGGAATAATTTCTCTTACATATGTTAAGTCTAGTGAGAATTTAGCTGATCCGTTAACTAAAACTCTTACAAGAGAATTAGTAAGATCAATGTCAATATGAATGGGGTTAAAACTCCTTAAACAAAAGTCTACCAATGATAGCAACTCTATCACAATATACTAAAATAAGTATATATAGGTTCAAAGAGTAATAACAAGTCATTTGATAAGTAGATAAGTTTAAGTACAATTAATTTATTACAAAACTCCTTGGTAAATACTGCTAGTTAGGAGGGTTGGATTTCTATAACTCGTAATAAAGTTCAGACCAATGGATCAAGTATATCTAAAAGTGACAAATATATTGTAAGAACTTTACCTATATAATTTCGAAGTAGTGCCGCCGTAATAAAGAGTTGAAATTTCTCTCTTAAAAGTTTGCGAATAGGAGAATCGCAAGACCATAAAAGTGCTAAACGAGATGGTGGAACTTGAAACTCTTGATGCTTATGTATATGATTTCACTAGTATCCTCACAAGGAATAATATGTTAAAAACGTTTATACTACCTAGGATTTCAATGATTACTTTGTGGGATTTACGCTAAGGTTGGATTTAAATCGAAAGATATCCATATTCTATGCATAAGTATCATTAAACTCAAGTTTGAACTCATTCTATATTTGAACAAGTGGTGTATTGTTAGAATATTGTTCAACATATATTATAAGAGTAATTTGAAAGTCATCAACTATAAAAAAGACGAGAGAAATTAAAATAAGACCAAAAAATTGGCATGGGTGATTAAGACTGGGCGAGGATTTTAAAAACAAAATGTTTTTTGCTGAATTGGGTGATTGCTCACACTACACCAAAAAAATCATCATTTGCAACACATAAAAGACAATATTCGGTAGTTAAATATTGTTAAAGGGGTCTACGACAATACTTTAATAAGCGAATGTTGCCATTAATTAACATAATTGAGCTTTGGCAACATTTTGTAAGTAGATGTTGCTAATGCCGCCTTTCACAACGTTTAATAAATGTTGCGAAAAGTTTTAGTTTTTGCAACGTTTATTAAATGTTGCGAAAAGTTAATTTTACAGCAACGCTTGACAAACATTGTTGAAACTCGCCTTTTGCAACGTTTGTTGGCCGTTGCAAAAACTTCCCCTTTTGTAACGTTAATTGAACGTTGCAAATGGGAAAAAAAAAAAAAAAAAAAAAAAAACCTCAAATTTCACCCCAAGTCCGTACAGCCACTTACGAGACATACAAACACAATCTTCCATCTCCACCGTGCCCTAACCTATCTTCCATCTCTCTTTGCGAAAAGTTAATTTTATAGCAACGCTTGACAAACGTTGTTGAAACTCACCTTTTGCAACGTTTGTTGGCCGTTGCAAAAACTTCCCCTTTTGCAACGTTAATTGAACGTTGCGAATGAAGAAAAAAACCTCAAATTTCACCCCAAGTCCCAACAGCCACTCACGAGACATGCAAACACAATCTTCCATCTCCACCGCGCCTTAACCTATCTTCCATCTCTCTTTCACGCCCATAGTCCCACGGCTCCGCCTTTCACCAAATCGTCGATGTCGATCGCTGAATTTCCACGGTCAACATGGAGTTCAAAATTGAGATCTAACACTGATTACGCTCAAAAATCAGTCTATCATTAGACGAGAAACGAATCATTTTCGGTATTTAGTTACTACCACAACAAATCCGCCACATCCTTGAATGGAATCAGCAGTCGCCTGTGTAAGAAATTGCAGGTGAGTATAATTATAAAGAATGCCGCAAATAAATAATAATTTGTGGTAGCCATTGCAAATTTTCGATCTGAGATAAGTACACGGAACGCATAAATCTCAATTGTGCATGATTTTTGGTTTTGGAAATATCGAAAAGTTGTCTTCAGATTCCGTGAAGCAATCTCCAGGGTATATCCCATCTGGGTTGTTCATTACAGCATTTTGTCATGTTCATTACAGGGCATTTCTCTGTTTGTTTAGAAAGATGTGGGAAAAAGTTCTATTTGGGTTTTGCTTATTTCAGATCTTAAAGATTGGGTTTCATCTTGAACAGTTCAACCAAAAAATCTGCACCTGGGATATGCTCATTAATGCAATTTGAAATTAGTGTGCCTTTTGTTCAAAGCATATAGTTTGAGAAGAACATTTCTCTTCATGCCATTCTCTTTCCAATATGATTTTGAATCTATTGCTGTAATTTTTTCTTGGTTTGATTTATTTTTTTTTAATCATTTTTTTCCTGGTAATCACTTACTTCATCAAGAAAGCTACTTTGATTGTTTACATTACCCTATTTTCTTATGGGCTTTTACACATTTCCCCAATTAATAGTCAGGGGAATCGCTACACGGCACCATCTGATCCAAGTGCTAAGGAGTTAATTTACATTTTAACTCGATTTTTTTAATTTCCTTTGCAAGATTTTATGGTCTTAGCAGAGAAGATTATTGGTTTAGTAATTTTTGCTAGATGCAGATATAAAAAATTCATTATATTCTTATCAATAATTATATTCTTTTGTCCTCCTAATTGAAGAACAACATATACTATGATCTTCAAGGATGCAATTGAATGCCCTAATCCACATAATGCGGACCACGTTTGATACTTGCAAATGATGAAACCTTTAATTTTTTTTTAACACTTGTAGTTCAAGGAAACTTGTGCACCAAATAGGTGTATGTATTGATCCATAGGCATTTGATGATGCGTTAGATGTTATTTTAGGGCATGGTCACGAGATTTGTCGTAATGTAACTCCATTTTGCAACTACTTTAAGCAACACTAATATTTCTCTAATCGTTATGATTTTCGATTTTCTAGCCTTTTCCCTGATTCTTACTTGCCATAATTTTGTCTCGTAAAAATTTTATGTTGATCATAAATTTGTTTCAACTTTTAATCAATACAGCACCATGAAAGTGTGTGCGTACTTAACTTTTGGAAATGTGGGTAGGCACCATTTATTACTCTATTCTAGTGATAATGAACAGAGTCTTGAAAATCGGCCCTGCTGATTCGGCTGGGAAGAGAAATTGCTCAAAAACCTGTCCAGTTATATAGTCTGAAAATAGTTCTTAAGAATGGTTGGGGGGAATCTTAACTGACTGTTAAACAGGGAATAAGATGAACCATGAGCTGATTGAGTTTTCTGTTGCATTTTTTTTTTTTTAGAATAGAAGGGGACTATTCAGCCTTGTGAACAGGCCAGAATATTCCTCTTAGTGGACCTAGTTCTGCGTTACTAGATAAAGAGCACTTATTTTTAGCCATGGGAACTAAAATTAAAATATTTGATTCGTCATAGCTTAGCAATGAACAAAAAAGTAGAATACTGAAAAAAAGGTTACATCAAGCTTTAAGTGGGAGCCGAAAGGCGAAAGTGAAATACCATTTTATGTACTTCCGTTTGATGACCTTATTTTTCTTTAGTTACAATATGAATTAAAAGAGTGAACTAAAAGTTCATGCTAAATTTTAATGTGGAATTCTTCTTCATTGTCAAGTGTCAACAAGCTTAATTGTCAAGTGTCAACAAGCTTAATTCTACAAACACATAGGAAAAGCAAAAGCATCAATACACCCAATTTGATTCGCCATAGATTAGCAATGAACAAAAAAGTAGAATAGTGGAAAAAAGGTTACATCAAGCTTCAAGTGGGAGCTGAAAGGTGAAAGTGAAATACCATTTTATGTACTTCCGTTTGATGACCTTATTTTTCTTAAGTTACAATATGAATTAAAAGAGTGGACTAAAAGTTCATTCTAAATTTTAATGCGAAATTCTTCTTCATTGTCATTTATCAACAGGCTTAATTGTCAAGTGTCAACAGGCTTAATTCCACAAACACATAGGAAGAGCAAAAGCTTTAATACACCCTAGTAAGTAAATGTCCCCATCTCTCTAGTTATTGCCTTGTTGGCAAAATATTGATTTGAATGTTGTCGCCTATTTGTCTATGTTGCCTTGTCG